TTGAACATTACCACACTAGTCTTATTTCCTCCCTTAAAACATAAATGAAAAACCATGGTTTCCCTAGTGTTGGCTTTGAGGAATACTTTGATTGTCACATCAAACATAAATTATTGATGAAGCAGTTAAGAAAAAGAGATTCCACATCTCTCTTCAGCAAAGTATGAATTTTAAAGCTATGTACCATATGCTATTTGTTTCAACTATATAGAAATACTCCTAGAGAGTCAAGTAATAAATTGAACTAGCAGATAAAGGCTATTGGAATACACTTCAAAACCAAGGAGGAATTTTTTAAACTAGTAAAATTAACTAAAAGAGACTTAACTATATATACATATATTTTATATTTTAAAATATGTAATTACAACATTAGTCACATAATGCAAAGTAAGTACTTTTAGAACTCTGAGTTAAAATCAAAATTGACACATATCCAAAATTGAAAAATCTGAACTATATCATAACAAATCTAGACCAGCAAAAGGCAGATGGATGCAGAGAAATATTAAGAGGCTGGTACAGGAAGCAACATTTGTCAGTGTTCAGGCAACACTGTCCAGGATAGCGGGACCCCTGACCCCAAAGTGGTCTCCTATTCCTACAGGAGACAAAGCCAAGCAAGTACATGAAAACCCAGGACTGTCTCATGGCATTTTCTCATTGACTGACTAAACGAACTCATGATATTCAGGCACCCTTGACAGCTATACATCTCACTATGAACTGAGCATCTCATATTGGCCTTTTGTTTTATGCAACTATTTCTTTTCATTTGGATAGTCTAAACTTTGTCTGAAAGACAAACCTTTGCATTGATTGGGACAGGACTCGACCTTTGATTGGTCAACTGGTCTCCCTTGGCAAGATGTCTATGAATACCCCCAACAATCTTCAAAATATCTATGACTGCCATAATTTTAGATTTCTGCATGCCTTGCAAACATGTAAATAAAATGCAAATATAAAATCGTTATGATTTTTTTTTTTACAAAATGCCATAATTTATATAACCAAATTAGTGTGGTCCTCTTCAAATTTGTCATCTTTATGAGTATTTCATTATATACTTACTAGAGGCCCAGTGCACGAATTCGTGCACGG